GGAAGTTCCTGCCCCATTACTGGACAGTCAGTACAGACGGCACACACTCTTTGTGGTCATCAGCTGTATTCTCTTTAAATGTGGGACACTGACCCGAGACTGTGGATGCTGCTCACTCCAGGGTGTCATTCCTGAAAGGGTAGGTATAGTTTCCTCTGCCCGTGTCACAGAGGGGCCACTAAACATACCCAGTGAAGAAATGACCACACAGTAGGTGGGCCCCATAGCCCCCTGCATGGCCCAAAGCACATGAAGCAGCTTCTAAAGTGGAAAAGAGCCAGAAATTCAGTACAGCAATGGTGAGCAAGGCGATGGGAACTCAGCTTTTTAAAGGTGTGTCCGCTGAGTTTCCTGCTCATGTTGAAGAGGGTTCAAATCTTCTCTTGTAGATGCCAGACTAGGTTAAGTATCTTTGTTTTGTTTCCCAAGTGTATAAAAATGGGTCTACTAGGACCGTGAAGCCCTCTGTCCATACATCTGCCTCAGTTGTAATCTATAGGATGAAATCATTTGCTACAAAATTGTGAGCAGGAAATGAGACTTAGCCATCCTTTACTTCCGGTGCCCTATGCGGTTCCCAGCACATAGGAGCAAGTGTGCTGCCAGTCTCCTCATCTGCACGCAGAGCAGACATCAGTAATGGATCCCAGCACGCTTCCCCACCAAGCCTGGACGCAGCCTCCCAGTCTCCTCCACACGGAACGACCAATCAATTGGTGCTGGCCCTCTCAACGAAGGTGGAGGGTGCCCAGTAAATGTTTGTTGTATGGTTGGATGAGCAAATGAATAATTGTTTTCCTAAAGCCTGACTCAGTGACCCAAACAGGGCCCGTGCTGTGTACAAACTCCATACATATTTGTTGACTGGATGGGTGAGTGTGGCGGTGGGTGGGGTTACGGGAAGGCCGGTGACACTTCCAGCGTATTAGCGCCCTGCTGAATTGGGGCAAAGCTGAGGGATGTGTTTGCTTCAAAGCACGAGCTTTTATTCCTGACATGGCCGTGTTGTGTCTTCCTCAGCGCAGGGAGGGACAGGGGAGGCGAGTGGGATGGGATGACTCAGGGAGCTCCTAGGTGACCTGGGCTCTAAAGTCTCTGGGGAGGCTCCGACTGGAGGCTGCAAGGGTTGGCGGAGGAAGGTCTCTGGCTGTCTGAGTGTTTTCAGTTCTTAGAGGGAGGTAAGAGGTGTCCGAACAAAACCGTAAGAGCGGTGGACAGTTTACTGTGGCCAGAGACGTAGGTAAGCAGCTCTGTGGGGTGGGGAGTCAGGAGACCCGGATGGAGTCTCAGCCCTGCCAGCCACACTGTCACCGAGTGTGTCCTCGTGTCCTGAGGGCCGGCTGTGTGTCTGGCACTGTGGAGGGCCAGGGGTCTAGAGATGGTAAGATGTGGGCTTTGCCCCCAAGAAAGGAGCTTCCTAAGGTCAGGTAATACAGTTGACCCTTGAACAACACAGGTTGAACTGTGTGGGTCCACTTAAGTGTAGATTTTCTTCAGCCTCTGCCACCCCTGAGACAGCAAGACTGACCCTTCTTCTTACTCCTCCCCCTCAGCCTCCCCAATGTGAAGATGATGAAGATGAAGACCTTTATGATGATCCACTGCCACTTCATGAAGAGTAAATGTATTTTCTCTGCCTCATGCTTTTCTTAAACACATTTCTTTTCTCTAGCTTACTTTATTATAAGAATAGAGTATATAAGACATGTAACATACAAAATATGTGTTAATTGACTATCTGTTACCAGTAAGGCTTCCAGTCAACAATAGGCTGTTAGTACTTAAGTTTTGGTGGAGTCAAAAGATACACACTGCAGATCTGGAAAACTCTGCAGTGGACAGGAAAGTTGGTGCCCCAAACCTCGTGCTGGTCAAAGGTCAGCTGTAATCCTATGTGCTTGCCAGCTCTAAAATGACAGCTGTGTGAACTTGGGCCTCCACTCTGCCTCTTTGGGTTTTTCCTTTCTTGTTTGTCAAAATGGTAGGGATATGTTTGTAAAGTTTGTGATGACATTTCTGCAGGTTTCTTCTAGCGGTGCCAGGTAGGAGAAAGAGCAGTAGCATGATAGGGCCACAGGCCAGGAACAAGAAATAAATACATAGTAGGTGAGTTTGTAGAGTGGCAGCCTTTTGTTCTTCCCCGGACACTGGTAGAGAACATCTGGGAAAGTGTTTTTGAGAGTTCAGTCTCTAAATGCAATCACACGTATCCTTACAAGAGGGAGGCAGAGGGCGCTGTGAGGAACAGACACACAGAGAACGCTGTGCAAATATGGAGGCAGAGATTGAAGTGATGTGGCCACAAGCCAAGGAAAGCTAGTGGCAACCAGGAGCTGGAAAGGACAAGGAATGAACTTTCCCCTAGAGCCTCCAGAGAGAGAATGGCTCTGCCATTGATTTTGGATGCCTGGCCTTGATTTTGGACTCCTGGCCTCAGAATTGTAAGAATAAATTTATGTTGTTTTGAGCCACCAAGTTTGTGATAATTTGTTATAGAGGCAATAGGAAACTAATACATCTCTTCTTTGTAGTTTCGGTGACCCCCACTGAACAAAACAAATTCTTCCTTCTTTCACACCAATCTCTCCTATTGCACTGAGCACATGGCATCCCCTTTGCCCTGCTGGGCACGGTGCCAAACACAGAGTCAGCACCTAGTGATGAGGTGATCAAATTTGTATTGACATTTCCACAGGTTTCTTCTAGCAGTGAGGGGTAGGAGAAAGAGTGCTGGCATTACAATGCCACAGTCCAGTAACAAGAAATAACTAACTATACAATGGATGAACTTAACTTTATGAAAAAAATTGCCTCAGCCTGAGAGATGGTTAGTAAATGTATTTGCTGATGCGAACATCTGGGAAATCCCCAGTTTTCACTATAGTGAGCGAGACTATCCTGGGGAATGTATGATCGGTTTGTGATTAATGCTAAAGATGGCTTACCTACTCAGATGTGTTCCTCCCCCAATAGACATTAGACCACACAAACTCAGACCGACTCTAAGTGGGTCACAGCGGCCCTTCCAAGCACTCTGTGCCCTATTTTGCCGAGCTGTGGGTACGAAGCAGGACCTCTGCTAGCATTAGCTTCATGCATGCCATCTTTCCCCGTGTCCTGTCACATGTGTGCACGCATGAGTCAGATGGGGGAGAAATGGAGAGAGCACGGGCTTTGGAGTCAGAAGTGTTTGAGGCCCCCTTCTGCCCTGTGCCAGCCACAGTCATTGACTAAATCTGCCTGGGCCTCATTTCCACACCCATGCGATGGTAATAATGATACTTATCTCACAATGTTGTCATGGGAAGCACACGAAATGATTTGTGTGAAAAGATTTAATGTACCTTAAAGCTTTGTGCGAATGCCTGCTACAGTTAGTACGAAAGGAAGCAGCTGTGAATTCTGATTTCCTCCCCAATAGATCCTTAAACAGCGTTAAGCATGGAGCTGACACTACGTAAATGGTCATGCTCGTTATTGTCTGCAGAGTGCTCCTGGTGGCTTTTGAGGTCTCCTTGTGGCCTTTCGTCTATTAGCAAGGGAGGCTCAATCTACTGTCCTTTCTGCCTCCATTCAGAGTCGAGCCTCTGCAGAGATTATGCCACACTGCGCCCCTGCTCTCACCTCCATTCATTCCTGCGTCCTTTCAGGCTCAAGCCCCTGGCCACACCCCGCCACGCCCTGGCCCCTCCCCGCCACGCCTGGCCACGGCCCTGGCCACGCCCTGGCCACACCCCTGACCACACCCCACCCACGCCCCTGGCCACGCCCCGAGGACTGCTCCAGCTCAGAGCCCCTGGACACCTTGCTGTGCGCTGGATGCTCTCCAGGCACTCAGAGGGCGAAGGTGAATGATGCCTGCGCCCTGTTCTTACGGAGCTCACAGCTAAGGGGGAGGCAGATACACAAACAGGTGCTTGCAGCAGTGTGCCACACGCCAGTGTGGACAGTGTTTGTGTGTAGCGTGTTGTGGCGCACAGAGGAGCAGCTGGCCATGCTCCAGCGGCGCAGGGAGATGAGTGCTCTGTGACTTGAAGGGTGCTTAGGGGCACCCTTCCCCTGGGGGAGGTAAAATAGGTCAACCTCATTTTTACCAAGAGTCCAGCTATAGTAAAACCGTGTTAAAGCCAGACCAAGTCTGTGACCTTGGTGGGCTCCAGCACCGCCCGCTGGGAAAGTGGCAGGGGGCTGGCGATGATGGCTGTGGTGGCCAAGGCCAAGAGCAGCAAGCCCGTGCACCGCGAGCCCTTGGCAGAGCACAGGCGAGTCCTCCCTGGAACGGAGAGAGGAAACGGCCGATAACCAGGAAGCTGCCTCGCTCCAGCCGGTGCAGAATCAGGAGAAAGTGCTCCGGCCTCACAGCCCCAGTGCGCCAAGCCCAGCTCACCACTGGTAGTTAGGGTGACCTGGAGAGCCACGTAACCTCTCTGAGCCTCAGTTTCCTCTGTAACGCACAGAAAATACTGACCTCAAAGACAGTGGTATGTGGACTAAAGAAGTATAATAAATGTGAAAGCATCTGGCTTATAGCAAATGCTCAATAGTCTCTCCTTAAAAGGTTGGGGGAACTGAGGTAATGTTTAGGAAATCTCCGTTACCCTGTTCTGATTCTTTCATCTACTTCCAGAGCAATTCCCATAGTGATTATGAACTTGGCCCTGAGTCACACAAACCTGGGTCCAAACCGTGTCTCCTTCGCTTAGCAGCTGTGTGACCTTGGGGGAAGTTATTTAACTTCTTTCACCTCAATGTCCTCATCTGCAAAATGGGCTGCTAGTAGCACTCACCTTATGAGATTGTTGAGAGGATGAAAATAAGATCATGCGTTCAAAAGGCTCTCAGTGCTGTGGCAGCTGGAGAAAGAACGAAACAAAGCGATCTGAATCATCTTGGCCTCTTGTTTGATTTTGTGGAAAATTTCCTGTCTCATTTGTTTTATGGATTAGGTTTACTGAAACTGGAGATTTTGGAGAAGCCAGATTGGAGGTGCGTGAAGAAAAGGGAAGATTTTTACATCTTGCTTCCTTCTCCACACTGGCTCCTTGCGAACTTAAGTCAGACTAGAGTCAATTCAGTGTTTCATTTGCTGCCAGAGAAGCACGAGATGCAGGCGATCCCCTCAAAGCCCAGAATGTGCCTCTGGGATGAAGAAGAGTTCCGGTTTCACGTTGGGTGGCGCTCGAGTCGAGCATGGTCTTGACTCAGATTCACGCTGAGGTTGCTAACTAACTGCCTCAAGAATAGTGGCTCATTCCCTACTTGGTCCCCGGCCATGGTGGCCTGGTGCCACCAATGGCCCTTCCCACGGGGGAGAGCTGAAGTCCTTTGCAGAGCCAGGGACTTCTCTTTGGGGACAAAACAGAAAAATGTCCAGCCTCGGCTTTTTGTGCCCACGGAAGATATAATCGTTCATGAACAGTGGCTTAAGCAGGATGCTAATGCTTGAGGTCTTATTTCTATCTGATATCCCAGTCCAGGGCTGAGGAAAGCTGATGCCTGAAGGGGGCGCTGCCTGCCTCTGGCTCCTTTGGATGAAGGAGGTTGAAACTGCTGACGTCATTGCCGGGCGTGATCGCGAACAGCAGTGATAATGGAAATTTAACACTTAACGGGAAATAGCGCTGTAGGATGTATAACAACTCATACTGCTACTTGCTCCAGGCACATTATAGGTGTCATTTCATTTAATCCTCAGAGCAACCCAATAAGGTGATATCTGCATAGCTCCATGAGGAAACAGGCTTGCAGAAGTTAGATAAGATTGCAGGGTCTCCCAGCAGATTAATGACAGAACTGACATTTGCATGTAGGTCTGTTCATTTCCACCTCGACTTCTTCCCAGTCAGGGCTCATGATTAGGAACTGGAAGCACTGAGAATCTGGCCCGTGGAAACTTCTTTTAGCCTGGAAGAGAGGCTCTTTCCCTATTGCTACTTGACACCTGGATGTTAAAGCTACTGCTGCAAAGAATACAGCTGTGCTCACTTCCCAGGTAAATTGCAGATCTTCTAAAGAGCAAAGGGAGGGTGGGTGGAGAGTGGAGCCATATTTGGAAAGGGGGATCAGGCAGCTCCCAAGGATGGCATTTAATAAAACTATGGGAAGGCAATTGTTCTCCTGGTTCATGGCTGAGAATTTTAGAGCTGCAGAGATATCTGGAAAATCCAATCCCTTTATTTCCTAGGAAGCATAGCCCCAAAGAGTTGAAATTATTTGTTCAAGATTATGTGGCTAGACAGTTGGAAATAAGAGCAAAAATAGTAACAGTCATGCTCGCAATTATTGTTTTATCTGATGCCTCAACAGTCCAGTGACAGAGACATCATTATTATTCCTAGCTAATGCATTTGCTGCTGAACATTCTGAGGCTCAGAGAGGCTAAAGCACTTGTCTGAGGTCACACAGCTTGTAATGGGGCAGCTTGTTTTAGGAATCTATTCAGTTCCCATACCTTTTGGCCCACTTGCTCAACAAGTGGGATAATCACAAACCCCTGAGTTCTTTAATCACAGACTTCCTTTCACATAATCTGCCCCATGCTCCTCATAAACTTGTATTCGTACCCAGACAATTATACCCTAAGTTTGGGGTTGGACAGCATGGTTGTCGCACTGAGGTTTTTAGAGTGGCTGTGCCACGCCAGGCTGCAGGAACTTGTTTGCAACACCAATCCTGCCACTCCCTAATTAGAAACACACAGACACACCCATCAACCCAGTACCCGGTCAGTGGGGCGCGGGGGCACAGGTACACCATGCAGCCTCCCCTGGGCCAAGTGCCCCAGGCAGACAGCCCAGTAATGGTGGAGGTGGCCCTGCAGGCTGGGTTGTAGTCCCAAAGGATGCTCCAGCTTAGTCTCTTGGGGTTTCTGGGCAGTCTCCGATTTTTTCCACCTTGCAGAAATCAAGAGGTGAACATTTGATAGACGTTAACCAGCAGTAAGTCCCAGGCATCCACCTTCTAGGCCTGTTTAGGCATCTAACCACAGCAGTTTGCTCTTCCCCAGGTGCCTTGCTGAGGAAGTCCCTTGTCTCTGTAGAGGCTGAGACCCGAGGCCTTTCCTGGCTCCTCTGAGGCCCTCAGTGCAAAGGTACGCCTGGCCAGAGGCATGGGGCTTCCCTCCTCCTGTCTGCTCCCCCGGTCTGGGCAAAGTGGCTCCAATACCCTCAGCAAGAGTGAGCACTGCCTCCCCTGTGACAGTCCCCTAGGGAGCGCTCCAGCCACCCGGCCGCATAGGATTTGCGGAAAGGTTCCCTGGCAGAGGTGTTTCCACTGAGCTTGCAGGGAGCGCTGGGAGGCAGGTGGCTGCTCTGGGTGTTGGCGGCAGGGCAGAGCCACCAGCCCTGGGCTATGCCTGTGTGACCTCCACGTTGTTGACTGGGGAGATTGGAGCTTCACCTTGTCATCTTTCATCTCGTCATCTCGTGGCTCCCCTGCCCAAGGCCCTGGGACCACTCAAGGCACCTCATGACACTGTGGGCAGTGCGGCCTCCCCGCAGTGCTTTGGTTTTCCAGCTGGACTTGGTCTCTCAGCCAGCCAAGGAAGGGAAATAGATTGTCCAGGCGGTTCTCTCTCCCTTGTCACCGGTTCCTCCGGCCCCTGAAGCTGTGATGTTAACCCCAAGGAGCACTCCTCCCAGAATCTGCTTACCCAGTCTCCCTGTGGGATGAGCCCCAAATGGCTTTGTTCCCTGGCCTGCTTGAAATTTTATTTTATTTTATTTTTTTTACCTCTGTCCATGTTTTTACAAACAATGAGCGAGGTTCCTTGTATCTCCTTGTCTGTTCCTCAAAGCACTCTCACTGGGGGAGGATGTTAATGCCGCTCTTTGGAGGAGGTTTGCATTATTTTTGATCCTTAGGAACTGTGGACTATTAAGGAGAGCCACCAAACAATACAAAGAGATATGTGGCACTCACTAGAAAACTGGTATTAACTGAGCAGCACCTAAGTGGACACATAGGTACTATAGTAATAGGGTATTGGGCAGGTGGGAGGGGGGCAGGGATATACATACATAATGAGTGAGATGTGCACCATCTAGGGGATGGTCACGCTGGAAAGTCAGACTTGTGGGGGGAGGAGGGAGAAAGGGCATTTATTAAAACCTTAAAATCTGTACCCCCCATAATATGCCGAAATAGAATAAATAAATAAAAAAGACCAAAAAATAAAACAAATTAAAAAACAAAAAAACAAAGAGATATGTGGCACACCAGACACCGCAGAACAAACCATAGGGTCTTAGTTACAGGTCCATTCAAAGGGCCAGCAGCCAGATGTGTATGTAGGCAGTGGTTCTAATCATCTGCTAGGGTCACGCTGTCACGTTCTGGGGGGGGGGAGGACTCGCACTTACAGCTGCTTCTGTAGCTTCACTCAAAATCACTTCCAGGGAAAGACAGGTTAGAACCCTTGCACTGGTGGCGAGCACAGACCAGCTCAGGGGCTCACGCCTTCCAACCCAGGACCCATTTAGACCCATCAAGGGCTTGGGGGAGCAAATAACACATATCTCCTAAAAGGTTTTTTTTGTTCACTATTGGGTAAACAGTGCTGTCATTTCTACTTTATAGACAAAGAAATGGCAACCAGGAGAAGTTAGGGAACCTATCCTCTATAACACAGATAAAACACCTAGCAGAGGGTTTATTCTTACCATTTGAGGTGTGTCAATTATTTATTTGGCAAATAATCACAGCTCAACAAATGACAGCAGAGAGGGAAGGGTCTTTGGTAGAATTGAGAAAAGAGTCTGAGACTCTGTTGCCAAAATCATGCCCAGATACACCTCACGGGTGTGCCCTATATTAGCGATCTCAACTACGGAGACCAAAATCTTCCATCTGCGTTTCATACATAGGTACCTATGTATACAATAACATATTTTTGAATCAAGTTTTCTGATTTATAAAGAGATCTCAAGTACATTTCATACAACAATCCAGTGAGTAAGTTATTTTTTTTTATAGAGGGGAAACCTAAAGTTCAGAGGGAATAAACAATTTGCCTTGGGTCTTACAATTAATAGATGGAAGATGTGGAACTTTGACCCAGGTGTGTATATGTTTGTTTCACCCACAGACGAGTATTGTACACATAATCGCATGTTCATAGTTACATAAGTTGGCCTATGAAACACCTGGAAAGGCTTTATGGAGGTAACAAAGACTTAGCTGATATAATTATTAGCACAAACAAATATTTGCATAGCTATAACTGAGTTCTATATAGAGTTCTCCCATATTTCCAGTTACATCTCACTCTCGAAGTGGCATAAATGCACTGCCAGAGAGTGGTTTCCCTGGGGTCCAGTCTGAGTTTTACTTTTCCATGCAGCTCACATTTTATGCTCCCGAAGTGAACAGTCTTTGGACACTAACGGCCTTCCTCTGCCACTTGCTAGCTGTTTGTCTTTGGGTGAGTTACTTAACTTCTCTGTGCCTCAGTGTCCTTATCTCTAAAATGGGGATCATAATAATAGCAAGATTCCCCCATAACTCATAGGATTGTGGTAAGAATTAAAGGTTCCTGGGACAAGCGAATTATGTCTACCAGTGGAAAGGTACTAGTCACAAAACATCATGTGACAGGGCCCTGGGTGAGTTAAATGCTACTCACTCAAACTAGGCTAGGTAGCGCCGACAGTTACCGAGTCCTTACCTGTGCTCCCTGAGGAACTGCTTACGATCACCTTTGCCCAGGGCTTTGCCAAGGCTGCTGGCCTCTCTCCAGTGTGGCCTGTGCCATGCACAGCTCTTTGGTCTGTGTGATTGGAATCACGGTCGCCTTCACTGCTGCCTTGGGGCAGGAGAAGGACCCTCCTGGGTAAGGTCCAAACTGAAAATGGGTGCTGCGTTGCATAGAGCCGCAAATACTAGGACAGCTCCTGGGAAATATGTTACAATCCCACTTTCTCCTTATTTGAGACAACTTAGGAGGGGATATTCCTACTGATCCTGAGTAGGGTCAGTGTCGAGTGGTAGAATTTAGGTTAGGAGCATAGACTCTGGAACTGGACTGGCTGATTTGTCATCTCAGTTCTGTCACTTAATTGCTAGAGATGAGGGACAGTTAGGTAGCCTCTGAAGGCCTCAGTTTTCCCATCTGTAAAGTGGGGAGACTAATAATATCTATCTCACAGGGTTTTTGTGAGGATTCAATGAATTTATGTATGTAAAGTACTTTAAAACTGTGCTTGGAACAGAGTAAACACTATGCACTATTATTATTAAACACACAAAGCAACTCTCTGAGTTGTGGCTTATGATTCTAGCATTCAGTGAGCACTGGGATGGTATTGTTGATGTAAGAGTGATATGTTTCTCCCTTGAACTTTATAATTTGCTCTAGCAACCAGAATTTGTCAGTGGCGGAAATGGCTATATGATCACCAAAACCCAGGGGTCCTCAAACTTTTTAAACAGGGGGCCAGTTCACTGTCCCTCCAACCGTTGGAGGGTTGTTGGAGAGTGTGGTGCACATTCCACACATGCGCACTGTGGGCCCGGGACCAGTCAGCTGCTAAGCAGGATAGGCAGTGCTAGCAAAAACACCTGGTGGGCCGGATTAATGTCCTTGGTGGGCTGCGTGTGGCCGGCGGGCCGTAGTTTGAGAACGCCTGCCAAAACCTATTATCTTTTCCTCCTGGACACAGAGCTACACTACCTCTCCCAGCTCTCTTGCTGACAGGTGTGGCCATGTGATTAAATTCTGGCTGATAGAATGAATATAGGCTGATGTGATGTGTGCTACTTCCAGGCCTGGCCCACAGCGATTTCTCATGTGTGATTCCCCACCCTCTTTTTTCTCCTGTATGCTGTCTGGATGCAGAAGTCCTAGTAGACGCTGGAGCCACAAGAAGTTTTCAGCTCTATCCTTCACCCCCACCTTCCAAATTAGATCACTCTAGTTCCTGAGCCTTTCCAGACTCCACAGCATTCACACTGGTGTCCTCTGCAGGCGTTGACAGTTCAGCTTTCTCCCTTCTGAGTTAGGGACCGCAGCACTTTGCTTTCCATCTTCCCCAAATACACTGACATCTTCCCACTCGGTGATCTCATCTCCCCTTCTATTTTAGATCAATTTACTGTGTTTTTTGGAGGGAATGTCCAGGAAGGTGCAGAGATAAACAGGAGTACAGTTCCTCATGTTTATTCAACAGTCCTGTTGGATCATTTTCAGAATCAACACTGAGGATGCAGTCTTTAAAATTACTTCAGAACTAATGATTTTGCTTTTATTGGTTAATGTTTTCGGTTTTTAAGCACATACTGCATGTGTCTAACTCATTGCCTTTAATAAACTGGATAATTAAGTAGAAACTTAAAAATATATACAATGCCTTAAAAAGAAAAAGGCTAAATGCAAATCGAAACTACAATGAGGTATCATCTCATCCCAGTGAAAATGGCTTTTATCAAAAAGTCAAGCAATAACAAATGCTGATGAGGATGTGAAGAAAGGGAAACCCTCGTACACTGTTGGTGGGAATGTAAATTAGTGCAACCACTACGGAGAACAGTATGGAAGTTTCTGAAAAGAACAAAAAGTAGAACTACCATATGGCCCAACAATCCCACTGCTGGGTATATATCCAAATTGAAGGAAATTGGCATATCAAAAAGAATCTGCACTCCCATATTTATTGTAGCACTATTCACAATAGCCAAGATTTGGAATCAACCTAAGTGTCCATGGATGGATGAATGGATAAGGAAATTGTGGTACATATACACAATGGAACATTATACAGACAGAAAAAGAATGATATCCTGTCATTTGCAACAACATGGGTGGAACTGGAGAACATTGTGTTAAGTGAAACAAGCCAAGCACAGGAAGACAAATCTTATAGGTTGTCATTCATGTGTGGGAGCCAAATATTAAAACAATTGATCTCCTGGAGAGAGAGAGAGTAGATGATGGTTACAGAGGCTGGGAAAGGTAGTGGGGGGGGTGGATAAGGTGGGGATGGTTGATGGGTGCAAAATTATAATTAGTTAGAATGAACAGTAATTGACAGTACAACAAAGTGACTATAATCAACAATAAGTTAGGGTACACTTCAAAATAATTAAAAGAGTGGAATTGGAATGTTCCTAACACAAAGAAATGATAAGTGCTTGAGGTGAGGGATACCCCAATTATCCTGATTTGATTAATTCACATTGTATGCCTGTATCAGAACATCACATGTACCCTATAAAGATATACAGCTATCATGTATAATTAAACATTTATTATGTATAATTATGTGTAATTAAATTATGTATAATTGAAAATTTTAAAAATGCATAATTAAAAAATTATTATGTATAATTAAAAATAAAAATGCTTTTAAAAAAGAAAAAGGGTAGCTAGGACTTCTCTTCTCCAGTTTTGTTCCATGTGGGGGATGCCAGCTTGTATATTTTCATCACCAACTAGGGGAGGTGGGCATGTTCCCTCTCACACCTTTGCTATCCCAGACTCTGTGTGGTCTGTCTGAGATCGATTTACAATTTCATTGCATTTTCGGATCAAGTATGACAGTTGTATCACCTAAGTTCCTAAAACAACTTTCATGTATGTTTTAAAATTTTATTTTGGCTCCTTTCCCAAAGATTAGTCGAGAGGGATTGGGATTGAACTTTTCCTTTTTAGGTTCTAGTATTCTCTAATAAGTGAAGGTGCCACCTCTGATAGACCATGTCCTATTATTGGCTTCTCTATGCCCCATGAGGGGACAGATGGGACCAGATTTCTGGGTGACCTTCAGGAACTCCTTTGTAACCAAATATGACCATTAGAGGGAGCCTGCACCTTGTGAGAAGATAAGACCCTGAGGAGGTGAGGAGAATTGTAAGGAAAAAGCAGCAAGGCACAGATTCCTTTTTTCAGTTTTCAATTTTATTTATTAAGAAAATATTATGCCTGGGAAACTAAATTTCTGTTTCCTGAGAGCCCATGGATAATCCATTAACTCTACACGAGTTCTTATGAAACAGGTAGTTACATTTACTACTGACAACCCAAAATAGGTGACTGAGGCAAAGATCTCAATCAATCGAGGTTCATTAAGCCAAAGTTTGAGGATGTGCCTGGGAAAGAAAAGCACGAATCACAGAAACATCTGTGCCCTGTGCCCTGGGATTTGGGAACTCAGTGTTTAAGGAGCACACAGGAAGAAAAGGGGAAGAAGCAGATGGTTACATTCTTGGGAGACTTTAGTTAGTGTCCAGTAATTTACATTTTACATAAGGTAAGGGGAATGTTTGAAGAGGAAAAGGGACTAAAGGAAGAATCAGTTGGATGTCCCTGAGAAGGTGGAAGAATGGTTGATCTTGTCTTGTCTCTGTTCTGTGCCTAGGAGGATAAACTTGCAATCAACATCATTAAGGTGGAATCCAACAGACTTTAGTTTTAGCAGCTGGACTTAACCTGCAGACCCAAAGTTACAATTTGCACGTTTTTGTTTATGAGAAGCCAGAAAAGAATTTCCTTATGAATAATCAAAAGGAGCAGTCCATGTAGATGCCTAAGGCCTTTTACCCTTCCATGGGGATCTGGCTCATGCATAATGCTAATAACAGCTATTCATTTGGAAGAGGGTGTTGCCTGACTCAGCCTCCAGGCTTGACCTTCCTTTTTGCATATGGAGTTGGGGGGGTGGTCCTGAGATTTTTTTTTTCCTTTACACTACCATTAGTAATGATTACAATGGAAGTATTTATGATAATTTTGATAATATTAGTTACAACTAATAAAATATTTAGGGATAATGATTTATTATATAAATATAACTATTTATAATAACTTATTTATTATTTGATTTATAATAATGTCAATCATCTGTTTCTAGGAGAACAGAGACGCAGAAAGGCACGTGTACCAGGCTCCATCTTGGGACGCCAGAAGAATTAGGATATACCTGCGGTGGAGACAAGAGGTGACCCTGAGGAGTCCAGCCAACCCCGACCCCACCATTCTCCCTGGGCTCGGGTGTCAGGCCTGTGGGAAGATGATGACCAGGCTCCAGCATTCAGAAAGAGCTCTGCACAGACTGGGGATCTGCTCATTTTTACTCAGCCAGCCTTCTCTTATGCAATGAGGAGAATGTTCCTGAGTTTGGATCCCTACACTTGAATGACTGGGCATGGGACGGGCAGAATGGGGCAGTAGAATGAAGGCATTGAAAAGTCGGGGGCATCTAGGGCTTTTGTCCACTGAGTTATGCTCTGTCAGGTGCCACCTGTGGTTCTGGTTCTGAGAAAAGAGAAAGTAAGGGACCCATTTCTTTGTCGTATGGAGAAGAGGGCTATAGCTGATGACATGCATTAGTCCGTGTGTGATTTCCTCTCATCCAGCCCAGGTTGTAGGCAGGTCTGGGAGTATTCCTGCTTGGCTATCTAGCTGAGCTGCCGTCCAGACCCTCTGACTCCTGGCATGGGCACTGAAACCGAGGGGGATGGGAATGCACACACCCCTTCCTTGTTGAAACCCATTGCCACTTGGGCTTCTGCTCCTCTGGGGTCACCTGGGTGATCCGACAGCTCCACTGCCTGGCTCGGCTGAAATTCTATCTGGAGTCCGTCTGTTGACTTGCAGGTAAGCCCTTGACCAGATACTGGTGTCCTTTGTCAAATCTGAGATGTAACTTTGTGGTGATAGACGCAGTTTGTAGGCAATAAAGTCACATGCAAATGAAAATATGCTTAATAAGGAATGCTTTTTTTAAAAAAATGGAAAGACTTGTTTGGCAGGAGATTTTTTTGGTTAATAGGCACTCTCTTGATGCCATGTTAAAAGTCGGGAAGGCAAGAGAAAGACAGAAAGCAGAAAGAAAATATGGACATTTGGAAATGGAGGAGGGGTACTTTTCTTAAATTCAATGAGGCAAAAATAGTATTAGTGAAAGGAAGAATCCTGGCCTAGAGGAAGAAAACTGAGCGACTTCAGGAAAGGATTTGCAAATTCAGCCCATGCCCTTTTTCTTCCTTGAAGTATCTTTCCTCCACTGCCTGTGTCTGGGGCCCCCTTTCTCTGGCCAGAGCTCTCCCTGCACCCCACAGGCATGACATCCATTCTGTAGTTAGGGCATGGTTTATAGATGCCACTTCCTCGGGGAGGCATCCTGTCGCCTCACTTCTCCCAGACAGGCTGGCTTGCAGGGGCCGTGAGAGTAGACACTGGGTGCTAAATCCTCAGCCTCTAACAGTGCACCCAGCCTGTTGTGGGTGCTCTATAGAGACAGGTGGAAAAAGTGCCTGTTTAAGCCACTGCTCCCCTTCTTTTCCCCTAAAAATCCCACTACACTTACTGTTCTGTTTCTACCTTCTATGCAGCGCTGGTTTTCATTTTGTTCAATGTGTGTATTTCTTATGAATCCAAGTAAATTATAAGCTACTGATAAATGGGCACTAATTCTATTCTCCTTCCTTGAATTCTCCCCAGCATAGAGCATAGAACTGAAAACCTAATAGGAGGCTTTGTAAATACTTTCTGATCTGTTTAGTGAATGAATAAGACTCTGCCCACAATTAACTAGACCTTTCTCTCTCAGTTCTCCCCACCCTCCCTCACTCTCTGCGACTTACTCCCCTCTCCCCACGGCTCCACCCTTGGCCCTAGATCACTCAACTAAAAGAGGGAAAAGATGAAGCCCGTAATTAAGCCCACTCACAAGTGTCTTCAGAAACAATCTGTTTCAGGACTTTAAAAAAACCAAGTTAAATCTCCCAGAATCCCTTACCAGGGTCTGAGGCTCAGCAGTTATCCCCCTAATTCTGCAGGACAGAACCAATCTAGCAGGTTGGTTATGAGAGCTCTTTGCCCCAGTTTTCCCATATGTATAATGGGGTTAATAGCACCTGCCTCCTACCTTCCCTACAGGAACATGGTGACATAATGTTGTAACATTCACTGAAGTCTTCAGATGAAAGGTACCATATAAATACCACACATTATTAAAGGCTCTTGACCCACGGATGATCATGGAAACTTCTTTGCTTATGGTATTCACAGCAAGATGGATAAAAATTACAGGGGTTTTGCCCAAGCACTTAGTAGTGCTGGGAGTTACCCGTGAGAATTAGGATCTGTTCACATAACAAGGGCCTGAAAGGAATTTGGCAGTGATCCCAGTGACAATGTTAAAATCCTTTAAAATTAAAAAAAAAATTATAAAAGAACTTACCCTGGTAGAATAATTCAAAATAGTATAAAACCTGTGATGAAAAGCCACACTATCTTGCCTCACCCTTTCCTAATTCTTGTCCTTTTCCCTGGGGTAGTCACTTTTAATCTTTTTACTGTTTATTTCGGTATTCATTCCCATATCTCTAAATAAAATGTTTCTACTTCTGTTTTTTGATTGATCAATTTTAGATATCAAATTTTGCCATTGATCTATTAAGATTTTACCATCCTACATCCCTCTTCCCTCAATCTTTTAACTTAGTTTTATCACTCATTCCCTTTCTCACTACTTTGCTTTGAAACTTTAAGTCATAAACCTACCACTTTACTTCTTGTCCAATAATAGGCAATATTTTTTTCTACTCTCCTTGCAAGATGGAAACATTTGCATCACTACCCTTCCTTTTAGCTCTCCGTCCTGCCTTCCACTTCCCAATTTCCATCATTTGAACTTTTATGAATACATTGCAAGGATTGGTAATATTTACATTCTGTTCTGAAGTCATAGCTGTCCTCTGTGTTTTGTCTATGGGGCTAGTCTAAGAGCCAAAGAGCATTTTAACTGCATAGTGCAGAGCCTGATTTTGTAGCATGATCATATTTTCTCTCTTACAGAGCTTTGGGTTTTTCCTATGGTCTCAAAATTCCTTTTTATTCTGGCATTGCTTGCTTTTGTTACACCCTAAATTTATTTTCAAATAACTTGGTGCTTCAATACTTCAATACTTTCAAATTCTATTAAATACCCTCCATCCCTTTCCCCCAGACGCCTCGCTCCCCAGCCCCTCCGTCCTCTGACCAACTGCTCTCTAGATGCCACACAGGTGTCACTCTGGGACTTCCTCACTTCTTCTGTTTTTTTGGAGGCCACATCTTTCTTGTTCTAGGTTTACTCCTTTGATTTACTGGGCATGTCCTCAACAGCTTTCTCCCAAAAAGGTGCTTATTAAAAATAAATTTTCCATGGCCGGGCGCGGTGGCTCATGCCTGTAATCCTAGCACTCTGGGAGGCTGAGGCGGGCGGATTGCTCGAGGTCAGGATTAAACCAGCCTGAGCAAGAGCGAGACCCCGTCTCTACTATAAATAGAAAGAAATTAATTGGCCAACTAATATATATATAGAAAATTAGCCGGCATGGTGGCGCATGCCTGTAGTCCCAGCTACTGGAGGCTGAGGCAGAGGATTGCTTGAGCCCAGGAGTTTGAGTTGCTGTGAGCTAGGCTGACCCACGGCACTCACTCTAGCCTGGCAACAAAGCAAGACTCTGTCAAAAATAAAATAAAATAAAAATAAATAAATAAATTTTCCTTTTTTGCATCCTTGCTTCCAAGATGACAAAGAAAAGAAGGAACACATGCCCAAAAGGGCCGTGGCCATGTGCAGCCTATTTTCTGCACGAACCGCGCCCCATGTGTGCCTAAACACAAGGCCATGAAGAAGTCCGGCATTCGGAACATAGTGGAGGCCGCAGCTGTCAGGGACATTTCTGAAGCGAGTGTCTTCGATGCCTGTGAGCTTCCCAAGCTGTACGTGAAGCTACGTGCTGTGTGAGCTGTGCCATTCACAGCAAGGTAGTCAGGAATCGTTCCCGGGAAGCCGCAAGACCGAACACCCCACCGATTTATTTATTTATTTCTTTTTTTTTTTTTATTTTAGCATATTATGGGGTACAAGTGTTAAGGTTACATTATTGCCCATGCCCCCCTCCCCCTCGAGTAAGAGCTTCAAGTGTGTCCATCCCCCAAACGTTGCACATCTTACTCGTGGTTGTGTATACCCATCCCCTCCTCCCCCCTCCCACCTGCCCGACACCCGATAAATGTCACTCCTATATGTCCACTTAGGTGTTGATATGTTAATATCAATTTGCTGGTGAGTACATGTGCCCACCTGGATTTAGACCTGCAGGTGCTGCCCCAAGACCTCCACCAAAGCCTATGTAAGGAGTTGAGTCCTTGAGAACTGAAGAAAAACTGTCCGTTGGAAAAAAAATAAAATGGAAATTATACTTAAAAATAAATAAATAAATTTTGAGTTTTGAATGCATAGAGATGTTTTTATTCTGTCCTCAACTTAAGTACAGAATTCATGATTGAAAACACCTTTTTCCTAGAACTTTGAAGTTATTGTTCCACTGTCTTCTAGCTTCCAGTGTTGCCGAGGAGAAGTCTGGTGCCAGTCTGATTCTTATTCCTTTGTGGGTAACGTTTTTTTCACTTTAAATCTTTTAAAGTTTTTTTCCTTTTCCTTATTATTTTGGAATTTCACATGTGTGTCTCAGCCAGGGTTTATTCTTATTCTATTTCATTGTGCTACAAACTTGGTGGGCCCTTTCAATTTAGAATGCATATTTTCTACCCTTTGTTTTCCTGAATTCTCCTTTTATTTGTTTTGTTTTTTGTTTGTGTGTTTTTTGTTTTTTGTTGTTGGTTTTTTGAGACAGAGTCTCACTTTGTCGCCCAGGCCAGAGTGAGTGCCGTGGCATCAGCCTAGCTCACAGCAACCTCAAACTCCTGGGCTCAAGCAATCCTACTGCCTCAGCCTCCCGAGTAGCTGGGACTACAGGCATGCGCCACCATGCCCAGCTAATTTTTTCTATATATATTAGTTGACCAATTAATTTCTTTTTATATATACTAGAGATGGGGTCTCACTCTTGCTCAGGCTGGTTTCGAACTCCTGACCTTGAGCAATCCTCCCGCCTCAGCCTCCCAGAGTGCTAGGATTACAGGCGTGAGGCACCGCGCCCGGCCTGAATTCTCCTTTTAAATCTTACTGGTGGTAATGGGATGAATGGTGTTCCTAAGAAGTCATTTGTTGAAGCCCTGACTTCAGGTACCTAAAAAATGTGACTGTATTTGGAGATAGGGCCTTTAAAGAGGCGATTAAGTTAAAATCAGGCCATCAGGGTGGGACCTGATCCAAGCCAATTGATATCCTTATAAGAAGAGGAAATCTGGACACACAAAGGGAGACACGAGGGGCACATGCACAGAGAAGAGACCCGTGAGGACACAGTGAGAAGGTGGCCACCTGCAAGCCAAGGAGAGAAGCCTCAGGAGAAACACCTTCCAATACCTTCATCTTGGACTTCTAGCCTCAAGAACTGTGAAGCTTCTATTGCTTAAGCCACTCACTCTGTAGTATTTTGTTATGGCAGCCCTAGCAAACTAATATACTGGTCAAGTTCGAATGATAAATAAGCAAACTCAAATTGGCTTCTTTTAGTAAGAAAGACTTATTGGCCCACATAACTAAAAAATCAAGGCTGGTAGTGCTGCCTTTGACCACTGCTGAATCCAGGGGGCTGAGCAAAATCACCATGGTATGGTTTCTTTCCATCTCTCAGCTCTATGCTCTACTCTTTTGTCTTTATTCATAGGCTCTGGGGTGGGGTCACATGCTCCAAGGGTTATGTCCGGTGGAAGAGAGTCCCTACCTCTTTTTCTGTAGCTCCAGGAAACATCTCCTTGTTTTTCCTTGGCCCCATTTGAGTCACATGTTCTGAGTCAATTACCGAGACAGGAAAATGTGGTGCTCTGAGTATTTGGTCCTGTATCATACACTCGCCTTTTGATCTGGGGGTGTGGTGTCAATACTATCCAAACTGCATGAAGTGAGAATGGGACAGGAATGACTTTATCACAAAAAGAAATAACAACTAGGGAGCTAAATAGCAGCAAAAGTTTATACATGC